AGAGAAAAATGGAAAATGAACAAATTGAGGCTTGATTTATATGGATCCAGTCACCTTCAGAAGCAACGAAGCAGCACATCCACTTTGGACGGACAAATATCATCTATCTGATATGGGACGAGCTGAAGTCCACTGCCCCTGCTGGTGTGGCAAAACAGTCGTTGGAGGTCAGAGTAATCTCCGACTGCAAAACTCAATTCCAATGACTAAAATGCCCTAAATTAATCTTAAACTGAAAGCATTGGGAAAGTAAACTGTAAATTATAATTTTGACAATGACCACATATTGTTTAAGTTCAATGTACATGTAATAATATGCAGGATAATACATGGACTTGATATTGTTTCAAGGTTTGTCAATGTAAAAATAAAATAATTTGTTTGCTAACTTAGGGAGCTACCATTTGATTTTTAGGGGGGTCTAGGATGAAATTTTTAAGAAAAAAAGGCAGGATGACAATTTATGTAAAAACAAGTCGGGATAAACTAGTAGAAAAAAAGGCAGGACCAAAAAGAGTGAAAAATAAAAAGGCAGGACAGATTACAACTCAACTAAAAAAAAAAATGCAGGACAAAATTTTTCATCCTAGTCCCCCCCCCCCCCCCCCCTTTTCCCCCATAAAAATGGAAAGGAAGCTCCCTTATAGTGTTTCCTTCAGAGGGTGTTGGTCTGGAATGGTACCCTGCAGTTTTCATACGCCTGTTCATGAGAAATATTATGGTATGCCTTTGTCCGTCGGTCTGCCCTGATCTGTCGGTTTCTAGCATGTTGTTCACTAACTCAGTAATATTTTCACCAATTTGCATGAAACTCTGGTGAATTGATTATATCTACTGACGTGAGCGCCCTTTTAGATTTTTAGGAATTTTATAAGTTACGTTTTCAAAATGTGAGGTTTTATTCATTTAAAAGGGGGATTTTTATGTTAACGCCAATTAACTCTAAAAATGCTTTGTTCACTAACTCTTCAACGCTTTCACCAATTTGCACGAAACTGTTGTGAAATGATTATTTTATAAATTTTAGGTTTCCCGTTTCAGAGTTATATGGGATTGTATTCATGTATTGATGTGAGCTCCCTTTAGATTGTTTTGGAATTTTAGATTTTACATTATCCAGTTACAATGTTAGGTGTTTTATTCATTTTAGTATATAAAATATAGACTCCTTTTTATACAAATTCAAGTAGGATTTGAACAGTTTCAGATTTTACCTTGTGAGTGAAAGAAATGCAATGGGAATTGGTCCTACTCCTTCCTTCCTCTAATTGAAAACGTCCTTGTTGTGTTTTAATTTGCATGCTCTCGATGTTTGGGTTTTGTGTCTCGTATAGAACAGTAAACTTCAATGTCTTGTTATTTGAGGTTGAACTGTTAGAATCTATAATATTCTTGTTTAAGAAATCTACATACAAACGTTTATAGATTTTAATTGTTCGTATGTAGTATTATCCTCTGTTTAAGGATGTACACCTCTGAAGAGCCAAAAATTTCTAGAATTAAACTTTTTTTCTTAACCTGGTTTTTGGGTTTATATGACTGTTAAAAAAATAACTGGTGAAGAAAAAAATCATATGGTGGTGCACTTCTTTTTTGCTACGGTCCTTTGAAAGTACCCAATTTTGATGATTTTCCCATTTTCATCAATTTTTACCCAATTTTGGGCTATTATCGTGAAAAAAATCACAGTTCCACAATTAAACTTTTTTTCATACTTTCAATAGATGAAGTGGACCAATCTGAATAAATTTAACTTAAAAAAACTATGGGTAGGTGTTCATATAAGAAAGTTTTATCATATTTTGATGCTTTTTCGTGTCAAGTTTACCATGCTGTCAATTTTGTAAATTTGTGATTTTTCTCTGTTTTAAGAACAAAGTGCATATTATTTCAACTTCTTTGTTATAAATGATTGAAAAAATACATATCTAAGAAATTTGAAAAGAAAAAAGTGATATGGGATATACATTTTTCTGGTAAAATCATTTCTTGTACCCCTCACTCTTTTTCTCAAAATTTTGGCTAAAATTACTGACTTGATTGGTAATAAAATTTAAAAAATGTATTACTCAAAAACTACTTATTGTAAATACACAATTTTTTCACAGAGTTAAGTTTGATTATAATATTTATTAAATTCATTGCTATTTTCCACTTGTATCACATGTTTTAGAAATAATTCCAGAACGAGATTTCAACGAGACCGAAACGTCAGAAGAATACATCCTTAAAGGGCCTTTCAAACTAGATTACTGGTCTTATTCCAGTGGCGGATCCAAGATAGGACGAAGAGGGCGTACGCACCTCTTTTAATCGCAAGAATTCTCACGATTTATATGATTTATTAGAATAAAATCGTGCATTTTTTTTTATATATATCTTGTATCTTTGTATATCTTACATTTTTTTTATGAATAACCCCAACCCCTTTTCAAAATTCCTGGATCCGCCCTTAGGTTCTTTGATAATCTTTTACTGTCTGTTTCATGTCATATGCATATTAGTTATAAATTCATATTCGTTAAATGATATTGAAAAGGTCTTAATGTTTCCTTTCGTCTTCACTATTATCAAGAGATAGTGTTTAAAATCCGTTTTCCAGTTAGATATATACATGCAATAATATTCAAGACAATTACAAATTGACGATTCAACAGTCTTTAGAATATATAAAAGAAATGAAACCACGACAGGAGGTGGAAATTTGAATTTCATTGCTGATGCATGCCTCATAGAGGTAGATGACATATTTAGATTGGCAAACAAACTCGTATGCGTACACCTCCGAAGATTTAATGCTTGTGAATTTTAACAAGTATATCATATACATAGTTTTAGAAGACCACCAATTCACCTTCTCCAACGTATGTAAAGGTAGCCCTTCTCTGACAAAAAATAGTGCTTTTGATGTCATTGTTTACTTAAACTAACCAACAAATTAGCAGAAATGAAACTTTTGGCGAAAGAGAAATGTAATTAGACCATTTTAAGCTCAAACTTACCTGTCCGTGAGTTTACATTAAAAATTAAGGATCAATGCGCTCCATGGTATACTTATTTGAGATTTCCAGAAAACCAGCGATTTCTTTTAGTAGCAGTTGTCTCCGAACGCTCATTTTTCATTACAAGACTTTAAACATTGGTTGAAAATTGGCATGTAGAAAGATGATATATGTACAATTCATGATATACCTGGTTTCTATGAAGTTAAACTTAACGTTAAATATTTAGAAAGCTGTGGAAATTGAAAAAAATGACTGAAAAGGTAGGGATTTTGAATTTTCAACACAATAACAGTTAACAACAATGTCAAATTTAAGAAAACAGATAACAGGTAATTAGTCAATAATAGTTAACAGCACATACATTTTCAAACAGTTGAAACAAGTTTAAAAATGCCTAAAACCCATTAAACAGAAAAGATCTTGCCCCCACCCCCCACCCCCCCCAACCCCCAACCCCCCACCCCCCTCAGTTAAAACCCGAATGCTCAGGAAGGGTAAACAATATTTGTTCAAGACGAATAATTTCCAATATTGTTATATGACTAATACTAGTAGATAACAACACAACTATTGAAAAATGAAAAGGCAACAAATTGTTATTTAAGCCATGACAAATGTAACATATACATTGACATCGTAGTCACAGGTAGTCCATACGTATACTGGCGTCCATTAATCTTCGAAAAAAAAAACTTTTAACCATTTAGTTCAGTGGCTTCGTCGTAAATAACAACCACATACAAAGAAAATTACTAGAAAGTTAAGTTTTCAACCGACATATGGATATTGAAAAAGATGGAACGCAGACGTAACTGTGATATTCTGCATTTCAACTACAATGACTTAGAAGCATATACTCAATCAACATAGAAGTCATCATTTGAAATGTCCTGTAATTGGGGAGCGAGGGAAGGAATTTGTGAGCTCTGATTACAATTTATAGTTTAGGAAAATTGATGAATTTATCATTTAATAAAACACTTTCTAGAAAAATTTCCAATTTTGACTTTTTTCAATTTGAAAGCAATGTTAACACTTCATATTTAAAAATATTTCTTATCTTTAAAAAAAGCACAGAATCTTCGAAAAATAATTTCAATATATCAAACAGGAGCGTAGAGGAGGGTCTGGATGGGGCCCTTCATTTCTGTATTATTTATCTTTTTGGGCCATTTTTCTCTATTCTTTATTGTTTTTGCCCATTATTCTCTATTCTCTCAGATATTTAAGCACCCCATTATACTCCTTTCTTTATTTTTTTGGTCCATTTTTCTCTATTCTTTGTTTTTTTCGCCCATTATTCTCTATTTTGTAAACCCCCATCGAGACTCTCGTAGAGTGAACGTCAACTGTATAACTTAGCCTATAGAACTGAAGTAAAGAGGTCTACGTATAGTCCTCAAAGTCATGTTATGTACTCGTCCCAATGTCTCGTAAAACGACACATTTTGAAAATTGATTAGGATAAAACCTCTTTAGTTATCTTCCAGATTTAAAAATAATAGTTTAAACTTATAGCCCTAACAAAAATAGAAGAAACAACTCTTTCTTATTCTTTCTTTAGGCCATTTTCTCTTTTCTTTATTTGTTGTCCATTATTCTCTATTATTTATTTGTTGTCCATTATTCTCTATTCTTTAATTTGTTGTCCTTTATTATCTATTCTTTATCATTTGTCCATTACTCTCTATTCTTAATAATTTGTCCATTATTCTCTATTCTTTATTATTTGTCCATTACTCTCTATTCTTTATAGTTTGCCCATTATTCTCTATTATTTGTTTGTTGTCCATTATTCTATATTCTTTATATTTAAGCACCATGAGCACCCTCTTTTCTCTTTTCTTTATTTTTGGCCGATTTTTCTCTTTTCTTACTTTTTTTTTGCCCCGTTTCCATAATTATACCTTATTATAATTAGCTACAATTCTTTTGTAATAAAAGATTGAGAATAAAACGTAGAATCTAAAATAAAATACAAGATATTTAACTTACCTTTTGAGATTGTTGCATGAAGTGTGCAGATGCAGTATTTTTAGTGGTTTATATACTATAGCATGCACCGCATGATGGAGATTTATATGGTCAATTCGTCAAACAATAAAATTTTTAAATTAAAATTTACGGTTTTATCATTTTTATTATTTTATTTTATACCTTTAATGATGTAAAAACATCTAATGAAAATTACACCTCTCGCTTAAACATCATTTATCTAGATGATTTACAATATATTTCCATTGTATACTATATGTATTGGGTTCTATCTTAAACCTCATTCAAGTAGATTGACTGAAGACCACGTTACCTTTTGCTACATGAAAAGCTTTGTGTTTAATTAATTTTAAGATTTATATTGATCACCTCGATGTAATGGTTATCTGTCTTATAGATGCATATGTTCCTCTGTCAAATAAAACTGAAAGTTTTATTTTTATTTTGCTTTAACTGCATATATTGTATACTAATACTCCTTTTTATTTGATAGAGGACTGAAAAGAATGAAAGTGTGATAACAATTGATCATCACAAGTGCTGAATATAGAATTAAATGCATATCCAGGACAAGGACATGTTAGTGTTATATGATTATGAATTCTGCTGTGTACTAGACTAACACGCTGAGCTGCATTTTTAACGCGCTAGTTCAAAAGGTAACAGTCCACAGGAAAGCATGTCACCCTACCCAGACACTTTAGTCTGACTCCAAGCCGACCACTGCGTGCTTTGCTCTTAATCCTTAAGGCCGCGTGCTTAGCGGAGAAGCACTAAATACCAATGACATAAATTATACAGTCTTTGGTTTGACCAGGCCGGGGTTCGAACCCACGAACTTCCGCATTCGAGGCGAACACGCTACCACGACACCATCGAGGCGGTCACCCGAATTTAAAAGGACACAAAGGTGAATACTACAGCCTTTCAGACTTCTTTCTGGCTTGAGGATATTTGGAATCACCAACCGTCATTAAGAAGACAAAATTGCACATTTTTGACAGCTGTTTACCATCAGTATCACTGTATGGTGCAAAATGTTGCAGAATGATGGGTAGAGACACCAACTGGCTATCTATTTCTATATACCACAGGAATGGATTACCTTAGCTTTATTTGGCAAAACCTTTCGCAATTTTGGGTCCTCAATGCTCTTCAACTTCGTACTGTATTTGGCCTTTTTAACTTTTTTTGATTCGAGCGTCACTGGTGAGAATTTTTTGTAGACGAAACGCGAGTCTGGCGTACAAAATTTTAATCCTGGTATCTATATATAATGAGTTTATTCCATACAACCTGTATACGGGGAGAGAGAGAGAGGATACTAGTACCAACAGGGGGTTGATAAAAATAAAAATAAAAAGAATGAAAACAGACAATACCATGGCCAAAAAGAAAACGACGAAAATACAAACAACATTGCAAAACACAACACAGAATTCTAGATTGGGAAACACGACAACCATAAAAACCGGGGGTAAAATAAGATGCTCTGAATCTGTAAGCAGTTCATGCTACATTAGTGGTGCACGTCTTGTTACTCGTTGCAAGTAAAACAAACTATGATTAGTCACATTCGGAAATGTCTCAGTCGAGGAAAAGAGGACCGAATTGTGGTAACGACTAGTGGAACATATTTGTGGTCATTTGTGACACAGAAAATGCATAACAATCAACCAAATCATCATGACGTCCGTAAAATTTTCAAAGGAGTGATACAACGATACCATTTGGAACTTATGATGCAAAAGCTTGCTTGTAAGGTCAGGTTAGGTAAAATAAGCCGTAGAATATCGTACCAAGTGGAAGTTATATACCGTTACTTCATATGCAGACGCTGCTAGAATGTTTCTTGACACAAATAGAAAGTTCACAATGGGAATATTGAAATCATCACCTTTATCGTAAAGTTTAGTTCTCAACCGACCCTCATTATCAATTTCTAAAAATAAGTCATTACATGAAACAGTCCTTTCTCGTTTGAACTGTTTTGTCACTTTACACAGATTACACATGTATATTAACGGTACATGTGGTATCATTTATTTTAAGTTTTTTGAGATATATGCAGTCAACATAGTCAACAAACTTTGAAGATATACTGGTAAAATAAAACAACTTATTATGTTGCAGAAAAGTCATTTTTGTTTATGTACTGTACCATCTTTTCGAAATATAAAATAACTGGGTGACTGGACATAGCATAATAGTCTAATACGCCATTGAATGGCTATACAACTCATTTACACATCTTTGTTCAAAGCATAATCCAAGCTTTTAAAATTAATTGAAAATGAATTATGTTGTTTTTCAAGATTGATTGTCTTGTTTTCAATTAGCAATTACATAATGTTTCGTTATGATTAAATTTGGTAAACATTATATATGCACACTTGTTTTGTGTAGCTATAAATTATTTGTCTTTGTGGTTGGTTTTTCCCGACCGCTGCTTAGTGTTTACCTATTCAATCTTGTTTTTTAAATTATTATTATTTTTGAATGTGTAAAGTTTCCAATACAACATACTTAAGGTGTCCATCTTCTGAGAGATAAAAAAAGCGCCATTAATTGAATTCAGGTGGAGAGCCATCTTCATCGTTAACGAATTCTAATATTAGTTGGAATGTGTAAAAGCAAGGAAAGTCCTGTGTTCTCGATATGTAGTTTAATTTGTATTTATATATATTGCAACCTTTAGATATTTTACCAAAGTAAAATATTCATCTAAAACCATTGCTAGGGGCAATCTTGACTGAACTTGCAGTGATCTTTTATAGACCTCACTGTAACATTTGCCGTGAGCTTTTGTAGACCTCACTGTAACATTTGCCGTGAGCTTTTGAAGACCTTACTGTAACATTTGCCGTAAGTTTTGTAGACCTCACTGTAACATTTGCAGAGAACTTTTGTAGACCTTACTGTAACATTTGCAGTGAGCTTTTGTAGACCTCCCTGTAACATTTGCAGTGAGCTTTTGTAGACCTCACTGTAACATTTGCAGTGAGCTTTTGTAGACCTCACTGTAACATTTGCAGTGAGCTTTTGTAGACATCACTGTAACATTTGCAGTGAGCTTTTGTGGACCTCAATGTAACATTGAGATGAAGAATTGCAATACAATAAATGTTTGTATCCTATAACTGTTGGAATTGTGTGCCATTGATTTTAATATGACGCCTTTATTTTCCTTTTTAAACAAAATCATGTTCTAATTCCAATAGAGCACGGGTCGAACGTGCTTGATGTCACAATTAAAATGGCAACACCAGTTGTATTTTGAATGACGCCGGAGATCTTAACGGACATTTTTGCACATGTACTTTTTAAGAACTATGATTTTAAAGTACTGAAAATGTATCTTAATAATGCAGTAGTGATGTAGTACTTTCAAACTATTGTACTATTATAGTACCTTAATTTTACCGTACTAGCTTGTGCTACAAATTTTCAGTATTAGTTTTATATTACCTTCGTAGTGTAGTACTATGAAGGTACAATACATTTATAGTACTTATTTTTCACTATAATTTGATATCATCCTTGGAAATTTTACTAAAAGTGTAATAATTTGAAAGTACTAGACTGGAACGAAAAGGATTTGTACCTAAAATGTACTACACGTTAAAAGCATAAAACTTACTTTCAACTTGAAGTACAAATCCAATACTGTGAAATTATGGTACTGAAATAGTACACTAATTTCGAAGTACTAAAAAAGTACTACATTATTTAGGTACATTTTAAGTACTTCAAATTCATAGTACTAAAATGTACACATGCAAAAATAGCTATATTGTGTGTAAACCTTACAGAGCGACATTTTTAGACTCCTTGCATTTTTATGTAAAGCATCACGTAGGGTAAGACCGTACACCACTCCGTACACCCACTTCGAGTCCAATTTTTTTTTTTGAAAAATTCTTCACTAATTCTATATAAAAAAGTGTCATTTAATTTTATAATATTCCTGACATTTAGTTGCCTTCAATACTATAATTTCGATGTGTGTAAAAATAATCTTACCTTTGAATAATCGAGCCTTAGTATCTAGAAAAAAACAGGTGAATTTTCGACAAGACAGTCTTTCAAAAACACCGCGAACAAAACTTTCCGAGGCTAATCGCGAATGCGTATATAGTCTATGTCCATTTGCCAAACAAAAATCTCTTTCAATAAATAATACTAAAAGACACTTTATCAATCGTTTTAGTATAAAAACACCAAACATAATATGTACGGTAATTAACTGAATGAACGAAATTACCCGGATCGACTCTAAAAGAGAGGCGAAAGATTCCAAAGGGACATTCAAACTCATAAGTCGAAAATAAACTGACAACACCATGGCAATAAAAAAAAAGACCAAAAGACAAACAACAGTACACAAAACACAACATAGAAAACTAAAGACTGAGCAACACGAACCCCACCAAAAACCGGGGGTGATCTCATGTGCTGCGGAAGGGTAAGCAGATCCTGTTCCACATGTGATACCCGTCGTGTTGCTCATGTAAGTACAAACTCGGTGATAAGTCTAATTTGGTAGGTCACATTCGGGGAAAATAGGACGGGATTGTGGTTACGACAATTGGAACATATCCGTCATCATCTGTGAAACAGATATTTCATAACGGTCAATCAACTGGTGATGCGTCTGTAAAATTTACGAAGGGATGATTTCAACTTCACCACTTGGAACTCTTAGTTTAATAGTTCTTTGTGAACAGCAACCCTCTATCAAGGAAATCATGATAGGAAATAAAAGCCCTGGAATATCGTATCAACTGTGAGATATATACTCCATATACTGGCGCTGAAGGAATGTTGCTACTTAGAAATGGAAAGTTCACAATTGTTAATCTGAAATCATCTCTTTTGTCGAAAAGTTTTGTTTTCTATCGAATTTGACATACGAACTTGGGGACAGGACATTTTTTTTCCCAAAATCTGTTATTTTTTTGTTTTGTTTTAATTTTAATTATTTCGTGTTTTTCTGTGTAACACTTAAATAAAAACAAAATACTAGAAAT